CTCTATGTCAGCGAAAAAATCCTTTCAGGTAATCTTCCAACCCTGGGGGTCGATATGGACCACTTATGATATCATTGACCTAGATTTATTTTTTTAATTCGACAAGAAACTACACTCAACTAGATTTTAATCTAGTTATAATAAAACCCTTACAATCACATTTATAATGCACATACCTATGTTGTGTAAGTATACGACTCACTCAAAAAGAAATGGTTAATGATTAGATTTTTTTTTTAATACATTTTTTATTTATTCTATTTTATTTCATTAGTAAGAGTGAAACTGTCAACATTTAAGAGTTGACTTCTATTAATAGAGGCTCTATGACCTGCCATATTAGTTAGCGATTAAGTCGGAGTCTAGATGCCGAACGGTCATCAATAGGCTCCGAGCAGTAATCGATTAATTACTTAAATGCATCGGTTAAAGGTGAAATACGTGTCGCAACATATGTGTAGACGATATAATGGCCAAAAATTTATGACTAATATGAAAGGTCATAAATCCTCCACTAATACTAATAGCAGTCAATCCTCAAATTTTGGCAGTTGAACGCATAATAATAATAATAGCGGAATTAAACAAAATCTTATCAACTAACCAGCAATATGGATTTCCGTAAAGTGAGACCTAACTCGCAAAAATACTCGTATATACAAAGAGTAATTTCATATAAGCAAATAACGTTCATCGTCTTTACCGCAAGCTTTAAGGATACCATAAATTAAAAACGCACACGCACACGCACACGCACACGCACACGCACGCACGCACACACGTACTCACTATTTTACATTGTTTTCCTTATTTATTTATTTATTTTAGTTTTTGGTAAATAAAGTGTACTAATAAATAGGTAATCGCACTCATAGTCCCCAAGATACAGGTCTGGCCTAGTTTGGGGACTGATGGTAATGCAGATATTTCCTCGTTGTATATAAATTGTAAAAACTGTAAATTGTACCTTATGCAACTGTATCTTTGTTAAATAAATATTATTATTATTATTGCTAAAAAAAAATTTTTTTTTCACTATATTATACATACTGGCTATTTAACCCCGGCATATGGGTGTGGTAGAAGACGACTAAGGGAGCTTAATAGTCGAGAGAGGGACAGCAGTGTCCCTTTTTAAACATCATCAAAGCCTAACTGCGTTTGCCAACCCATCTGCCAAACGTGGCAACTTCTGGCAAAGCTCTTCAACAGGGAGAGGCCTATCTTCAGCAGTAGACAGTTAACGGCTGCTATGATAATGATAATGATGATGATGATTATTATACATCGCTTTTATACCAACACTGCTAAATTAATATTGATTTAAATTTCGAATTTCGCTTAAAAAGAAATTTGAAATCATCATGTACAAATTGTACCTAACGAATGTTTTTCTGTCTAATCGAATCCGAAATAAAATTGCTTAGTCAAACATTTGCTTTCTTAATTAATTGCACAGCTCGCAAAACTCGCAAATGTGTGTTTGCGTAGGCTGGGCGTTCTTCTATCATGAGCCTAACATTCGACCTGCCCATATTTTGCTAAGTATGTTTATTTAAATTCAAACCGATAGGAGATGACCCTACCGTGTCAGTTTTAGGTTAATGTGTTTGTAAACGGTGTTTAACATATTACTAACCTAAATATAATCCGCGGTTTTGCTTGTGTTTATTACAAGTGCAATATATAGATAATACATTTATAAATATTGCGAGCAAGTGTAAACTTATCACTGAAAGATATCTCTTCCAGTCAATCCAATGTAGTGAATTATGTATTTTGATAATAAATAAATGAAATTTATCGAATTGTTTTTTTTGTTAATACAATATATATATATATATATATATATATATATATATATATATATATATATATATATATATATATATATATGTTATACCACTGAAGTGGCAATATGGCAAAGCATACGGCCCACCTGATGATAAACGATTACTAATACCAATTACATAATACACGCGCGCGTTGTCGCCCCTGAAGAAACCTCTTTATCCCCCTACCTCTTTATATTTGACATAGATATAGATTATTTTTATATCTGGTGTGTTTTTAGAGTTCCACTCCTCAATGTCTCGGTTACGCGAGCAAAACCGATGATACAGCTAATTTAATTCAAAATAAAATTGTCTTAAATACAACAACAACAATACTACCGTTATTTAATTTTTTTCTCATAAAAAAAAACAATTGTTGCTAAATTTACAACACAAATAACGAAGTGATAAAAAAGAATTAAATTCTAATTCAGTCAATTTCAGTTCTAAGAAACCGTCTCATACGTAGTCGCTTCATTTCGTTGTAAAAAATGCAAGGTATGTTATTTGAACTGGTACACGAACAAGACTGAAAATATCCATTTACCATGAGTTTTTTCAGTCAGCTTCCATTGAAATTGCTAAAGAGTATTCTAATTTACAATACGAGTACACGTGTTCTAGAATTTCACATATGCTTTATAGCACTTTTTGAATAAGAGAGCAAACACTCTTACAAGAAGATAACAAACATTACAATGTTCGTTAAATTATACAATATTTATATATATAAATATAACAACAAATTAATTCATAATTTATTTAAAACTAATTAATATTTTAAATAATAATTGTTAAATAATGAATTATTATTTATTACTTAATTATTTAGTTGTAGGACTCTGGCTTTTGTCAATAAATAAATATTATATGCTTGTTTTTAACCCGACATATAGCTTTTTTTTTATACAACTTAGAAAGGCAAACAAGCTGACGGCCCACCTGATGGAAAGTGGTAACCGTCGCCTATAGACATGAGCAGTATCATGGACATAACAGAGTATACTGTTTCGCCCGTGATACCCCCCATGCGTTGCTATTCCTGAGGACTCAGGTGTTATTACTCTGTACCCAGTAAATTCACGCCATATCCCACCCTTCAAACCGAAACACTGCCATGCAAACACAACTGCTTCACGGTCGAAACACAAATGGGACAGAGGTACCCAACCAATCGAATTTTGTACAAAGTCTCCCTCTAGTTAAGCTTATGTTCTTTCCTATCCTATATAGTACCTGCATACCAAATTTCATATTTGTCGGTTCAGTTTATCCGACCTAAAAACTGCAATTTATGAACTGAAAACCGCCGGTTGCAGCTAGTGATAAATAAACAAATCCAATGAGAAATATAAATCTATTCAAGCATCCAATAAGATCAGAAAGATAAAATTTAATCTCGATACAACTCTCGCGTTCTTCGAACGGTTGTGACTCGATTCATTTGTCTGCTCGGCGGAACGTGATGTCATTTCAAAAAAGACAACTCGTTTAAAAAAAATGAGTGTTTTTTTTCTCTAAGTAGACTATTTCTCGTAACGATGGAACTTAACCTTAAACCCTTTTACTGAAAAAAGAATTTATAGAAGTGATCTTACAAATATATCCTTGCAAATACCTCTGTATAAAATTCAAGTAAAGACAAAGGTTGTAAAACTTTTTTTATACTACCATGGTGGTAAATGCCTATGGACGCCTGTAACACCAAAGACGTAACGCACGAGTTGCCGACTCTTAATAAACCTTAATACGCTCTTTTTAAAGAACACCATGCTGTAGTTTCTAAAGTAAGCCTCAGCTAGAAAATCATACCATAACCTGATTTTTCGCGGAAAGAAGCTTCTCTGAAACCACACTGTACGTGTCCATTCTGATTCTAAAGTGTGAAGATGGATTCTCTGCCGATGGCGAATGATACGCCTAATCTAAAATATATATTTTTTAATGTAAAATATATGTAAAAATGTTTTTATTCAGTCACGTTCAAACAGCTGAACGAGTTTTAATAAAATATTGCTTAATGCTAGAGAGATGAGCAGCGGCTCTCTTAAAACATCATCAAAGCCTAACTACGATTGCCAACCCACCTGCCAAGTGTGGCAACTATTTTTTTTACAACTAAGAATGGCAAACAAGCTGACGGTCCACCTGATGGAAAGTGGTAACCGTCGCCTATAGACATAAGCAGCACCATGGACATAACAGAGTATACTGTTTCGCCCATGATACCCCCATGCGTTGCCATTCCTGAGGACTCAGGTGTTATTTCTCTGTACCCAGTAAATAAACTAGTAGTAAACTACTGGCAAATTTCCCCATATGAAAAAAGCCTATGTCCAGCAGTGGACAATTAACAGCTCATATGATAGTAATAATTACACGCAAGTAAATTATTATCCTAAATTAACAAATTTATAAATTTATTTATTCCCTTAAGTAAATACAGCTATAAATAAATACGATAGTTTTTACCATAGTTCGTGCAACACAAAGCCGCATAACACTCCTATATCTTAATTGGTTTCCATGTATTTTGGGTCATTTATTTATATACAATCGACTTTGACCAGTTCCCTTTTGTAATGTTATTATGTACTCTCACTGTAAAGTGTTCAACCCTATTAGACTATAAACAAGTACACAGAGTAGGGACAAAACCACGTTCCCAATTATCGATAAGAGCTGGTAATAACTTTTATCGATTCCAATATCGATATATACGCCATCATGTTTTTAAATAAATGCAAAAAAAATTTACTTATGTTAAATATATCACAAATTAGTATTTGATTTTCTTAAAAATTTTACTAACATTATAAGCGTAAAAGTGTGTGTGTTTTTTTAAATAGATGATAATGGAATGGTAACCCTGCCTGCGTTAACGATATGCGCTAGCGAGGCACCAGTGCGGGATGATAAGTGAGAATGAAAAGGCAGGTCAATTAGTTCATCGGAATAAATACACTTCAGCAAGATGGTTGCCAGAGGAGACCACGTGGAGATAAACCTGATAGGGTATATAGCTAGCATGGAACTCATAGTCCGCATTACTAACAATGTTAGCTTTTAGCGATGTAACGGTTTTATGTCAATGTTTATTTGACAATATAAATATACAAGTTTATAAATATGTTTGAATGTTTAGTAAATTTAATTAATACATACTCGTACATCTGAATAAAATATCCTTTCCAAATTTCACATCTGCAACAAGCATTAAAAGAAAGTGAGATCAACAAAAAAAATATATTGAAAAAGAGACATATTAACTTAATGACCGAAATCTGTATATATATATATATATATATATATATATATATATATATATATATATATATATATATATATATATATATATATATATGCTTTGTTACGTCATCTATATAATTCTAATATAGTTTATTCATTGATAACTTTATCTCGTTTGTCACGTACTGAAACAAATTACTGTCATTCATAATTCATCTGGAAAAATCGTCCAACTTCTACTGAGTCATTACCATCAAAAAGTTTGTTCATTAGCAAAATACCTATCCACCGCATCGAATCAAAGTTTTAATCTGAGATAATTGCAGCGTTTACACCACTGCTTTATCTCGTCTAAGCCTTATATAAGCTGGTACAATTTGGGAGATGTCGCTGTACCGAACAGTTGTAGCAGAAAATCTGCAACTGAAATTAGTTGTCAGCTTTGTTTTTAACACGCGTCTTCATATTTTTATTAGTAATTTTATAAATTAGTTTCTTAATTGTAATTCTGTAATTAAATTTAATAAAAATAATAATAAACTTTTTATTATATACAGTAAAGATGTATACAAAGAGTATTTATACAGAATGTGCATATACAAAAGGCGGCCTTATCGCTAAAAGCTAAAAACAATCCCTTACAGACAACAAATAAGTAAAATTTTAATTTAAAAAAAGTTATTTATAAATATATTTTTATTATTATATTTTTATCTAAACGAAAGTAAACCCCTTCAATTAAAGAAATTATAATCCAAATCTATTCCGAATCAATGAAGATATCAAATAACATAGTTTTTATAAATATTATCTATGAAATAAGTCCGCCATAATTGGACACATTAAGAAAACTTAATACATGTATATTAAATCCTCTTAATGAGTCCAATGTAAAGTATGTACAATTAAGATTTTATAATACAATACTATTGTTAAAACATGTTCAGTTTTAATGACGTCAATATATTATTTGTATAAAGGATGAAATCGAAACAATTGTCGGAAATAACAAACATTGTAAGTTTATAAATTTTTTGTTTATATTGTATCACAAATATCGAAATTATGCCTTAAAGATAATTGCATGTGAAAGCCTATAAAGGTGCATTTAGACTGAGTAAATCCAGAACGAGAGCAACAAATAGAAACTACTACTATTATTCGTCTGAGGATGTGTTAATTTTTTATGACACGAGATTGTAGGTTGCTTTCGTTGTACGAGTACACAAAGACCACAAAAATAGCTTACAGGAGAACGACTTTACGTGTCCTCCAAAACCCGAAATAAGTGACTATTATTTTAAAATGCTTGTATTGGAATTCGATATTGGGACACCTGGACCTCTGTCAAGCGTTATGCCACTGAGCTGTCGTCGCTCACTAATCAAATAACCGCATAATCCACCATAATAGATGGAGATTCTGTAATAGATTATGGTTTATTATCCGACTCGAAGGTCAATGAAACGCATAACTCACTTTTGAGACTGGAATAAACTCAGTGACTCAATAATATAATATCGTGATTACAGATCGATCATAAGTTCAAATATGACAGATACTAAAAATATTATGTGCTTCTGTGTGTATTAAACTCTGCGTCATGGAAGACCGAAATAACAAGCCAAATTAATTCAAGTAATGACTCTAGGTTGGCCCCTACCACATTGGATTCTAATATACTCGGCGATATATTTATTTATATGTATTTTAATATCATCATCTTATATCCAGAATAATTAAAAAATATTATATGTATTTACACCATACATTAGCTAATTACAGATTCCCTATTCGTGTACCAAACAATATTATGATTATTTTTTGATGGTAGATCAGCGCAAAAACAATCGATGGAGACGCTTATTTGAAACGTCACATCACTGGAAGTTCTCGTAATAATTAGTGTAAAAATATGAGATATTTGTGTGTGTAGTATTGCGTGAATGTAGTGTACAAAGAAACAGTGTACTGAGCGCGTATTGTTTTGTGTTAATGAAGAATTACATATGTGTATATGAGCACGTCGATTACTATATTTAATATATAACAGTGACACTCAACAAACATCACTAACTTTAGCATTAAAGATTACAGTCGTCTTACATTTTTGGACATAAATTTTTACATCACAGCACTACGTGATTACGATATCTGGCCGAGTATTAATCGAGTAGACAATCAATACCCAAAGAGATTTATACGAAATTACCATGAAGAATGGAAGAGAAATTTCACGAATCGTTCTTTTTTAAGCGAACTAGCCCTTTGTTACACTGGATATTCTTTTATAATGGCGGCTTTAATCCGCTTTAGGGAAAGAATTCTTTATGTCTGGACCTGCGAGATTGGAATATTTTAATTTAATATTCAGTAACGAGAATCAACATTGTCACACACAAGGGAGAAAATTTTATCATCAATTAGCTGAAACGTGAATCAAAATAAAAATGTTAATAATGTTTCAGCAATGTATGGAGCCTGGGCTCACTTGATGTACGCTATTATATGAAAAAGCCAATCCCAAACACATTATCATTTATAACACCTTTTCTAACAACATTGTTTTCTGACACAGTATTAATTTCCAATTCAATATTTGCAACACAAAATCAAATATCGTATCACTTTAATAACACTTGGACATTTATTGAAGTAATTGAATGTAATGATCGCTCAATAAGCGACATGTATGATTTCTCAATAATGTTATTTTCGTTTAGAAAACCATTATACAATTTGTATAATTTAAATGTTTAAACAATTTATTGATTTCATTATTTTATATTTTATTCAGTATTTATAAATAAATTATTTATATACTTTACATGGATTTCTTATTACCATTTTTAAATTAACTTGCAAATAATATAAAGTGCCAATCGTAAAAAAAACCGTAAAAACATTTTTGTAACAATAAAGTACACAATAAATGTACACTGAAATTATTATAATATACTAATTAAGAAAATAAGAAAGAAAGAAATATTTTTATTCTCATGCCCATTTAGAACGCAATTTCAGCCAAGAAGATCGGGCGAGAAATTCAGCCGCTCAAACTTAAAATAATATAATGAGACCTGAGTAAGATACTCGCATTAAATTAATAAATAATTATATAAATTAATTTTATTACATTTTTGCATTGTTTCTATGTTTTTATTTTAATTTTTAATATTTTTCTTAATTTTTAATATGTTTCATTCTATCTGTAGAGTCCTTTAAGTATATTTAAAACTACATATAAACTAAGAAGATTCTCAAATCGATTGTATTTTGTATGTAATTCTGCATGTCAGTTAAGAGACATTATCACTAATTAATAATAAACAATAAAGAGTATATCTGTCTATCTAATGTAAAAATAACATCAATATGAGACCAACACGCGAATAAACCGTATTGATTTAAAAAAGGCAATATTTTCTTAGAAAAAATATTAAAAGTTTCATTAAATGAAAAGGTCTATTTACTTTACTTACTTTTATCCGATAATCACTTGAAACTTGTGGATTTAGCCCATCAATCGGTACAAATATAGAAAGCCTTAGCGACTGGAATTCATGTGAATTGTTCTTATTACTCGTACACTGAACGTGGGGATGACTTAACGAACTGAGAATTTTTCGTTTGTCTTTCCATCTCGTCACTTATCACATTATGTGTCTAGCAAATATGTTATTCGAGTATACGGAGACATTCTTAGGATGATTTTTATGTTTATTTTTTTTTTCTCCAAAAATAATTTCACGAGAATGTATTTACGATACAAGGACAAAGATTTTCTCGTAAACATTAATTTATTGAATAATGTAGTAAAGATATTATACCTACTTACATAAAGGAAAATGACATATCCCTTGTAGAAATAGCGTAGTGTTGATGAACGTATATAGCTATATATGTATATATATATATAAAGCTAGAGTGAATAGGTAATACCTACTTGAATTGCATGTAAAATCTTAGACCTTATTGTCACTTAAGCCGAGATTGTGGTCAAACGCGCTCAAATTCAAGCCAAATCTTTTTGTAATATGGATAATAAACATATTACGCCGACCCCATATAATAATTGGGATAAGAGTAGGAAAAAGAAGAATATATAAATAAACAATTATCATGGTAGAAAATAATGTTAATCCATAGATTAAATAGTAGGTGCATGTTCTCTTCATTTTAATAAGAAAAAACATATTCGTTCTTTTATTTTTCATTAAATAATGGTAAGTAATTAACTATAATAGCTTTATAAAATTTCTCCAACACTATAAATATGTCTATAGTTTTTGTATGATATTTACATTAATTTTGAACCGATTTTGATAGGGGGAAAGGATTGTTAATAACGCGGACTATCAGTCCCATTGCTAGCAATATGCCCCATAAGGTCGACCTCCACGTGGTCCCCCTGGAAACCCTCGTGCTGAATTCCTGCTGTATTCGTCACGATGGGCTAACTGATCTGCCTTTTCATTTTCACCTATCACGCCTCACTGGTGCCTTGCCAATGTATACCGTTAGCGCAGGTGGGGTTACCATTCTATTATCATCAATTAAATAAAAAAAAAGATTTCGATTTTTTTTTTACAATAATTAAAGTTTATAGAAGTAAACTCGATCAATTATAATCTGCTAATCTTATATACGTATTAATGTTTAATGAAATTCCTGTTTTTCTCTTAAAATACATGCTGTTTCGCGATATTAAAATGCAATTTACCTTCCTTTGTCTTTACTTGGAGCATTCTCGTGTATTTATAAGTGCCTTTATGAATATAAAGAGCTCAATGCATTATCAAAATCTTCCCTTTCAAGAAAATGTATTTTTACTTGCAAAAATTGAGTAATGTGCAAAGTGGAGTAAATTGTAAATATTTAAAACAGGAAGAGAAGAAGTAAAAGTCACTGAAATATCAGTGAAAATCGACGTCTTAGATATACGCATTTATCCT